TCTTTCCAGTGAGATAATCAATAAGCTTAGTAAACAAGGTTTGGAGTAACATTTTAGAACAAATATTAGTATAGTATACTGTAGTATTATTGTGTAATATTATTAGTATAGTTTAGCATTATAGTATTATTAGCATTAGCATAATATTATTGTTTTGTGCATTTCACTCTGCTCAAATAGTCAACAATAGTCATTTGTATTTGTTTCTAGCTTCCTGCTGATCTATTCTGCCCTTTAGCTGAGCCAAGTTTGGATTTATGCTCAGTTCTGTTACATTTGTCTCAAATAATTTTAAAATCAACCAGCAAACCATTTTTCCCTCTAGGAAATTATTTTAGCCGCATAAGAAATTGAAATGTATCTTTGTCCTTCCCGCCCCCAGATCACTTCCTTCCTTCAATTTTCATTAAAGGGATGAACTGATTCTACATTCTGTAGTCTTGTCACAACTGTGTTTTACAGCACTTGAACAAATATGGTCTTCAGTATGATCAATATTGTGTATTAAATGATAAGTCAATAAATTGCAGAATCAAATTAATGTTAATGTGTAATATTAATATTACTTAGGATCCTTTTCCTGGTGCATTCTTCAGTCTTGCCTATTGCTATATAAGAATTATAGAAACTTTTTTGAATTACGAAATTTACAATGACAATAGTGAATTTAGGCAAAATGACAAAAGCTGTGGCCGGTTCTTTTTTAGTAGTGAGGACAATGGATAGAATCAGACTGTTTCTTGGCCATTGGATGCCAGTGACAATAAGAGATGACCACTGTAAATGACCACAGAGGCACCAGCTTTACTTTTCACTCATTGTAGGAAACAGTTGGAGAAAGGCAAGTCCTGACTAAGTGGACTTTGCATATCAGAAAAACAGCACCCAGTAGCATCACTTAAACCATATTACAGCTGCTTCATACAGATAGCTTGTCATGCTGAGACAACCGCAAGAAGCAAAATGTAAGCATCTTCTGAATAAAATATTAGGCTTTGGCAGCTCCCCAATGAAATGGGAATTGATAACTGAATACTGATAGTCAGTTTGGTGTAGTGGGTTAAAGGTACCAGGCTAAAAACTGGGAGTTTTTGGTGAGTTCTAGTGCTGCCTTAGACATGAAACCAGCTGGATGACTTTGGGCCAGTCATTCTCTCTTAGCCCTAGAAAAAAGGCCGTGGCAAACCACTTCCAAAAACGTGGTGAAAAAAACTGCATGGACTTGTCCAGGCAGTCACTAGGATTCAAATTTGACTAGAAGGTGCCATAAATGAATGAATGAATGAATGAATGAATGTATGAATGAATGAATGATAAATAAATAAATAAATAAATAACCCACTGCCGCCGCCACCTCAAAAAACCACACATCCACTACACACTTGAATCCTAAAGCACTTTCAAATCACAGTTTGCAATCATTTTGGGATCAGCTCCAAACATGATTGATTTTGTGCTATCATTTGTTTTCAGATGCTGAATTGTTCTGTTCTGAATCTACTCCAAATTCTTTGAAATCACTGCAAAACTGATATTTTATTTAGAATTGCTGTAATTCTGTAAATTTAATGAGTGGTTCATTTCCTCATTAGCTGGAACCTTTCCTTCACCCTGCTTCTTAGCACTTAGGTTAAAGTAAGTTATGTTAAACTAGACCTCCAAGGTCCCTTCTAGTCCTATGATTCTATGATCCCCTCCCCACATACACGCTAGAACAGTGTTTCTCAACCTTGGCCATTTGAAAATGTGTGGGCTCCAACTCGCAGAATTCCCCAGCCAGCCATGAATTCTTCCAGGATTCTGGGAAGTTGAAGTCCACACATCTTCAAGTGGCCAAGGTTGAGAAACACTGCACTAGAAGTTCAGCATCCTATTCTTGAAGCTTGACTTTTTCTGCATGCATCATTTAAAATTTATCTCTCCTTTTTCCCAGTCCAGTAAAGGTAACCATGGTCACAGCTGTAAGGGAAAGTATCCACTTGAAAAATTGCCAAGAGAATGAGGCTTCTCAGTGCTTTGAGGCCGGTAGAAGTAATAACATTTATTGGTTGGACTTGGAATCACACTGCTTTATGAGGGATTAAGGGGGTGGAAACGCTGGTGGTGTGGAAGTGGCCCTAATTTGCTTGAGAAGTTCATTCTTCCTGACAGGTTTTGCCATGCCTGCCAGTCTCTGTCACGCTCAGTTGCATGATCAACACGGATTGTATTGGATATCCAAAAGCAGTCAGTATCTCAGTTGCACCAGATTATCCAGACGTGGCAAAGATCTGGTAAGAAGAGAGAATCTCTCAGCTAGATAAACTGGGATCCAGTTATTTGATCCTATTTCAATTGGAGGAGGGGGTTGTCTGGGCATTTATTCAAAATGATTTAAATGTTTACTCTGTTTTTTGCAGATGGCTCAGAATAAACAGCTACTTCCATAAAGCAGCTGTAATGTGGGCCTGCTGACTTTCAATCATACCAGTTTAATGCTATTTCTCTGATCTCTAAAATCACTCAAAACATGTGAATGACATTTTCTAAACATTTGTCAGGATTGTACTACTAGGATAACCTCGGGATAAAAATAGTTTTTCTAAAACTTATGAATTAGATTCTGATGGCAAATGGATAATATTTGCTAAGAGGGAATACGAATACATGTATGCTGCCTATTGGTTTTGATAGATTCCATAAATCTTGGACTCAGTGTCTTCTTGCCATCTGAAATTGTGTTTTGCATGCTGTTTATTCTTATTCTTCACATTGTTTTGACCTTTGACTTTGGAGTGAAATTTGCTTTCTTGTACTGGTTGTTTGGCCTAGTAATGACTCTTGATTTCCCTTCATTTTCACTTGTGATATTGCTTCTTTCTCTTCTGTTTTCTCTGCTTCTCCAGTGATTTCACGCAAGGCTAACTGAACACCTCTTTGCATGAGAGGTGGAAAACCCCAAAGGGCCTTCATTCTTGGCTTTCCCGCCCATTCTTTAAACATTGCTACACAGGTGATGGCAGAGACTGCTGCTTGGCTGTGTCCAGAGCAACCTTCTCCAACTTGGCGCCCTCACAGAATTCTAGGCCAGTATGGCCATGCCATCCCAACACATCTGGAAGGCACCATGTTGGAGATTAACAGAGAGCGAGGCTTTGGCTGATATGACTTATTTTATCTTTGTCTTCTGTTTCTCTGTGTATTTCATTTTAGAAATACTGTACCTAATAATTACAAACACCAAATGGGATGAAGTGGCCATCTTGTTTCATGGTTTTATTCCAATGGTATAGTTGGTGTTTTTTTTTTAATGTTGTGAGCTGCCCAGCCTATACCTACAAAGGTCAGAGTTGTGCAAGCCATGATTGATATTCCACAGCCTGGAAGTGAAAGTTGGACTTCAAAGAAGGATAGGAAGAGTATTGGTGCTTTTGAACTTTGATGTTGGAGCACGCCTTTTCATATGTCTTTTTTAAAAACATTAAATGTTTGTGGAAACTCATAACTTGCACTGTTTTTAATGAATTATGATGTTTTAAAATTCTGCTGTGTCGTGTACATTTCAGCCCCAATGAAATGGAGGGGGTGCTGATCTTCTATATAAATGTTTTACTTACCTTTACAAAAAAATTATTAATGCTGTCATGCCCTAATGTGAAAATAATAAAGGACCTTAGTACAAATGAAAAGAGTGTCATGTGAAAGTATGATTCAAGCAAATGCATGCTCGGAAATGCTCTTTCCCTCCCCACCAGCTGTGGAGAATCAAGTTTTAATTCCCTATGAACTTCATAATGGAAGTCAGTGACTGGACAGATACACGATTCAGAAGTGGAAGGACAGAGCAGCGCTCAGCCCATGCTCAGAGGGGCTTTATTATCATTTCACAACACAAGCGCTACAATTCCAGCGGGACTCCTGATCTAAACGAAACCTAATTACGGACGAGTGAAAGAGCGCCATCTATGTCACCTCTTCCTCGGAACTACAGCTCGGGTTTCATTATTCCTTTTCCTCCTGAATGAAATGTGTGCGGAAATAGCGCCCCCCCTTTTCCTTTTTTCCCCCGTTTTGCCTGGCAGGACAGCCAACCAGCCCACGGCTAGCGAACGAGCGGGGCGGGGACCCAGCTCCGCGGAGGCCCGTCCCCCTTTCACCCGCCTCGCCTGCGCCGAGGAGCCAGTCTGGAGACGCGCCTGGTGCTGTGCTGGTTGGAGAAAGAGCCGGGCGGCGCGCGAGCGAGCAAGCGAGGGAGCGCGAGCGAGGAGGGAACGCGACGCGGCGGGGATTTCCAGACTGGGCTCGAGGGCGGGAGAGGAAGTGCGGGGCGGGGGGAGAGAGAACCAGCCGGGGCAGCGCACCAGGGACTTTCCAGCCGGGGCAAGGCAGCTACGTTTGGCCCAACTGCTGCAAGAAGAGCAGCGGTCGGCAGTGCTGGCGGCCGCGGCTCTTTCCCCCCCTTCTTTTCCTCAGGCGCGGAGTAAGGAGGGGAAGAGCGGAGAAGGTGGCCGGCTGTTGCTCTCCTCCAGGCAGAGGCGGAATCCGGAGCTGGTGGGGAGGGAGCGTTTCCCAAAGCCGAGGCGGAGCGGTGGGTCTCAGCCGTTTCTGTTGCCTTGCTAGTCAGGGGCGGGAGCTGGCTGGAAGCGAAGTCGTCGTGTGCGTGAAGAAGGGAGGACGCGGCGGCCGGAGATCCCATTCAGAGAGCCCACGGAGGCAGCC